TGTGTATATATATATATATATATGTATGTGTGTATGTGTATTTGTATATGTATGTGTATATGTATATAAATATGTGTTTGTATGTGTACATGTGTATATATATATATATATATATATATATATATATGTATATATATGTATATATATATGTGTATATATGTATGTATATATTTGTTTTTATAAATATAAAATAAATTGTATTACTATTCTTACTTCGTGGTTTTTCACTTATTGCGGGGCTTCAGTATATGGATCCCCCACGATAAATAGGGACTACTGTATGTATTTGACGTGCGGTACCTGATTTTTACTCATTAGCAACTGTAAAAAGGCAATTTAAATGAGGGGAAGAATGGGAACACAACAAATACACATAGAATATAATTACAGAAAAATAACAAGTTGAATTAATATAAACACACAAAGCTACCAAAAAAAAAAAAAAAAAAAAAAAAAAAACCTTCATCCATCTATTATCTTTTACCCGCTTCTTCCTTTTTGGGTCGCGGGGGTCACTAGTGCTCATATCCAGCAGTCGCAGAGCGAGAGGCGGGGGACACCCTTGACAGGTCAGCCGTCCATCACAGGGACACATAAAGACAAATGAGACAAACAACCATTCACTCTCTCACTCACACCTAGGGACAGTTTAGAGATACCAATCAGCCTGACATGCATGTTTTTGATCTGTGGGAGGAAACCGGAGTACCCGGAGAAAATCCACACATGCACAGGGGAAAACATGCAAACTCCACCCATAATGTCCCCCAGCTGGGTTTTGAACTGGCCACCTTCTCACTGAGAGGCAACGGTTCTACCAACTGAGTCACCATGATGCAAAGGCCTTGACTGATATCTCAAAGAGATTATAAACACAAAGTACTGTATTCATTATTGTCTCATTGAGTAATAGCCAAATTTCTGCGACGTTCAGCCCAGCTGTTTGACCTTTTTAGTACGGAAAAGTAGGTACACCAAAAAATATACACATTGGAAAGTTTGCTTTTCAAAGGTACATATGACTGCTCTGTTGAAACTGCAATATGAAAACTATGAATTTCTAATGACTATGTGATGGCGCAAAAGACCAGATTTTCTGAAAGTAAACAAAAATGTTAAATGCTAAATTCAGAAAGAAAACACAAAAGATTTTCCATGATGAAGATGCTTTTCCTATCTAGCAGCATGTCTACCTACCTTTGTGTGATCAGCTGATGGCAGCCATGACAGACTCAAGTTGCGTCAAGCAATGCACTTTTACATGACTGGCAAACGCTAACTTGTTCAGAGACAAATGAAAGCAAAACAAATATGAACAAAATAAGTAAAAAATTCTCTAACACCTGAAGACCTGGTGCTAAACAGAACCCGTATAGAAAAAGATTCTTGTGTGCCATCTTGAAACAATTTTAATAATTTGCTAACCTCCACCAACCAGAAACATGTTAACAGGAGGCAACTCTGCACCAGAATTATTGTAGTTGTGTTGTATTGATATTCTTTTTACATATAGTATATAGGTTTTGTACTAAAATAATGCAGAACCCTTTAAAGATGCATTAACAAACCCCATTTTTATACTGTAAATTAAAAGAAAATATGTTATTGTTCACATATAACCAAATCCCTAAATCTGGTCGCAATTAACCTGCAAGCTTTTTATGTGCACAGCACAATAAGCAAACAAGGAGCCAAAAAAACCAAAACATTAACAGTCAATCTTTAATCTACCACCATGAGAGAGGGAGATCAAAAGAAATAAAGCAGCTGTTTAGCTGGAATACAAAGCAGTTTCTGCAGGGGTCTCATTGCCTCCATCCCTGCAGCATAAAACATATGGCAGGTGGGTTCATTCCGTCGTCTAAATTATTTTTATCTCTGCAGTCTTTTTCCTCCCTTTATGAACAGGATGCTGAGAAGGACTATACATTACATTTGTGCAGTTACACAATGTCAGTGTCAGTCTGCACGTTTGTCTGGGATTTTTCAGAAGCAGAATAAAGACTGTGGATAAAAATATGAACCTCAAGGACAGGATGCAGTACTGCTGCAGCAGACCCAGGTGGACAATGACAAAATGTACTGATGTCACAATCTGATTAACTTTAATCTTTTTTTGTTTGTTTTACATTTAGATTTCTTAAATGATTTGAACATAAAACTACTTTACATCAGCCTCCCTCCTCAAGCAAAAATAAAAACTTCAGAAAAACGAGTTACACAATATTCCATTTTGGAACAAAATACTAGCAGCAAATATCTCTAACACATTATTTAATGTGGAACATCAAATATACAGCTGCTCCAACAGCAATGCTTTTAAACCCTTCACTTCGTTAAGTATAAAAATAAAACAACACAACTTGCTTCAATTCCAGCACGTAATCATGAAATGTATGGCTTTAATGAGCCACTTTGAATATTTATAAAGTACACTTCAATTGTGCACAATAAATAAGGGGAACAAAAAAAAAAGAAAAGAAAAGAAAAAGCTCATGAAACCCACAGGGGTGGAGTGATACAATTTAATTTTTGATGCATCCCAGTGCAAACATGAACAGTTCTGAATTAATTTTAAAATGAAGATGGGTGATTGAGACATGAAAAGGCACATGCTACATTAAAAGCTAGTATTCAAAAATATTTCGACTTATGAAATTAAAAGGAAAATGGCATTGACAAGAGCCACACAATATGCAAGCTACATACTGTATTTCCACCCGGAGGAGCAAAATAATAAAACAGCAGAGATGTGATATCCTCGAACAATCCGGATTGTTTGAACAGCTCTTTGCAACCAACGATAAGAACATTCATTAACGTACGGCGTACATTATGATGTCTTTGTCGTGCAAACTTCCAACAGCTTTACGAATCTAACAAATCGTCACGATATGGTTCCCTTCACAGACCCATATATTCCATCTCTGTAAAACAGCTCAATGTCACAGGATCATCCAGAGAGTGATGTAAAAGTTTCCACTGAACGTAGAAATTAACGTCCATTGCAACTTTTATGGGAAAGGTTTTGGCTCCTCATTCAGCGGTTGAAAGCCAGGACTTGTGTATTATGCTGCTTCCATTTTTGGAGCCACTATAAAACATAATGGTCCTATGTTAACGATCCTTACCAAGCCATTTGTTTGGAAAAAAAAAAAAAAACAGGTAAGATAGTTCTACATGTGACGCATGGACAAATACTACAGAACCTTAAGTCCCTGTGTTTGGCATTTTGACTATCTTTTTTATGTTCATTTCATTACAAAAATCTTGTTTAAATTAAAAAAAATAATAATGCTGTGTGGAGCAAAATACGTTGTTTTTAGGCCTAAGAGATTGCATGCTAAATATTTAGTTTTAAGTGTGGTTGTGGACACAGTGAGATGCATTAATAACTGTTTTGTAATTGCATCATAACCCAATCAAGTCAAATCATGGGGTGCTTTTAAAGATTTCGACCCTGAAACCATCACCTTGTAATGCCCTTTTAATGTGTCTCAGAATATCTTCCATTTCAGTATTTGAAGCAATAAAATGAATTGTATGACCTTAAAGGTAATCAAAATATGACTTGAAATGAGAAAATAGTCAAAGTAAAAAAGTTTTGAGTTTTTTTTTTATTTTTTTATGTTTGTGCACCTTTTGTATTTGCTCTAGCCTACAAAATAAAATGTCATTTTAGAATCAATATATATTTCCACACAGTCACTTTCAGGCATGTCTGTTGGTGAAAATGTCTGTATTCTGTCATAAAAATTCATGGCAGAGGGACGAAATTTTGTAATTTGAATGTTTTCTAGGAATACCGCAGCCTTATTTTGTTGTGAGAATGTTTAGATGAGCAAATACTATACTATTAATGCTTCAATAATGCTTTTGTCAAATTATTTTGAGTCAAACTAAATGACTAATGCTTTCAGCTGGCGTAACGCTCCAGTAACAGCAGTGGGGATCTTGGGAGGCTTGCCCATTAATAAGGAATGTCATTAATGTAGCAGCCTTTAAAAGGTCAGCCGCTTAATGAAATGTATTCATTCATACAAAGATTTAGAAATCTTTATTTGTACTTGACTGGATTTGAAGAATTGCACTTTTTCTTATGCTAATCATTGGTAAAGGTAAAAGGCTTTCATTGTCGGACTGAGGGGAACTTCATCAGCTATTTGTTCTGCGCCGCTGCTTTCGATTCACACAATGACTGACAGGACTCTGATTATTTCAATAAGGTGAGCGGGCGATAGGATTGTACTATGGTTCCCAAAAGACCAGGCTGGAACCACTCAGAGAGCCAATGGAGGAAATTGGAAGCAGAACAGATGAGTACGCAGAGGATTGATTGGCTGTCTTTAATTCACTATTGATCAATTTTCCTCCCAGTAATGAACCCAGGGATTTGCTTGTGTTGCATAAAATAAATAATTACTATCTTGGAGTGAAAGATGCATAAAGAGTGGAATGGTGGCAATATGTCCAGGTTATCTCATTAAATATTTACTGTGTGAGATTTGGAGGGTGTAACTGAAACTAATTTATTTCACAAAAGCAAGGAAGCAACTGATTTTACTTAAAGAAAGCTAAAAGGGGAAACATGATTTTTTAAATTATTATTATTATTATTATTATTATTTACAAAATGCATGCAATAAAAAAAAAAATCTGCAGAGGTCTGTGCTGGATAACTGAAGGGAGGGGGGAGGACTGCATCTGCTGTAGGTTGTAGTAGTGGGAGCAACATATGGCCATAAAAACAATTACCAGTCACGTGCAAACAAAGCAACGCACAGTTCATTCTCTGCCAACACGCTGCATTTATCAATATCTTGGACAATGCACAGGCTGTCGTGGCCACATCTGCACATGTGCAGGAGTTGTTGACCATGGTGCCCTCAGAGGTTATTAAGAATTCAAGTCACACACAAAGACGATGTGGTGTCTCTGGAAAACGAGACATGTCGTAAAGATGCTAGCCCTCGAGCCAAGGAGGGATGAATGAGTCTCCTACCTTTCAGCACCAACACCACCCCGGAGCCACCCGCAGCTTCCGAGCCGCTGCAGGCGGGGGGCTCGTCTCCCTCAAACAGCTGGTTCACCTCCCCCTGGATGTCCGAGGGGCGCGGGGCGCCGTCGCTCTTGGAGACGGTGAACCTCTGGCTCATGGTGGCTGTCGCCGTTGCGATAAGCGACGGGGCTTCTCGCCACTGCTCGGACGGACAGACGCGGATAAAACTCCCTCTTCAGTTGTTTTACGAGTCCACTGTCACAAGCAACTCTGTTCACTACTAACCTCGCTTTCCTGGACAAACAGACGCTGTTTGTGTGGGTTTATTGGACGTGTGATGCGGAGCGCACCATCTCATCAACCGGTGTCTGAGGCTAGTTGCGCGCCTGGGTCCTAAAGCCGAAATGTTTATGTTGTGTGGTTGTTTTTGATACGTTTTACATTTGAGTTTTTCCACTTTTGTCATTTTTAGAAGGCTTAACATGGCGATTCAAGTCGTTTAAATAAAACATTGCTATATTTAATTACACTTAATCGTCGCAGCCTGTTTTGGTTTCGGAGTTCGGGTTGCTACGCAACGGCAGAACAAGCCAAAGATTAACTGCCAGTGACTGAAGGAGCATCAGCGCATCCTCATGAAAATCCAGACCGATTTGCCACAGTTTAAAGTTGCGATTTTTATGTTTCATTGAAGTAAGTCTAACATGCACCTTTTTTTAATTAAAATTTAAAGGAGCATGGTTCATTCATAACGTTTCTGTCTGGACCACAATGAAGATATATATGCATATAAACATATATATCTTCATTGTGGGCCAGGATG